AAAAGTTATTATTCATATTGGGTTTGCAATATCAGGCCCAGCTCAAATCACGTCACTTTGTTCCTTGATTTTCGATGGTCTCTCCTAAGGCAAACAGAATAGTAAAAAATTTTTGATATATTATTTAGGATTAAAATCAGACTAGAATGGCTATATCAAACAGTATAATTCTTGATATATGAAGGTTAATTCCAAGCCAAGTTCGATATCATCATCTAGAATTGAGTCAAAATGCACTAGAGGATTAAATTTGATAATTTGATTCATATAGCTAAAATGGATTCAAAGGCGAACAAAAATCTTTCTGAGTATTATTTGGATTTTTGTTTCAGAACCCCCTTTTTGGTTTATATTATATATATTATATCATTGTTTCAATTGTTTCCTGTATATTATGGTGGTGATTTCATATTCTAATGGTGGATAATGTCATGATCTAATGGTTAATTTCTTCTTATTCCTAATTTGTTTACATAATAAATTCTACATTGTTAGTATTGATTTTTATCCTTGTTTGAATGCCTAGTTTCTTGTTAAAGATACTGACACTCTGTGCTTGTTTGATTGCTAGTTCTATATTGAGAATTTACGTCTATTTAGTTGCTTTTAAAATACTGAAATGGTGTAAAAAAGAGGTGATAAGTAGCATGATGTATTTGCGATTAATTTTTGCTAGCTCTATGGTATAACTTTGATTGATCTTTTGAGCATTTAATTTTAGGTTCTAATTGGTGTCATGATAGCATTGTGATAGCGTCCTGATAATGTTATAGAACTCTTCTGAAACTGTCATGGAACTGGAGGGAAGCTAGAGAGGTTCTATTAGCTTGCCAGTTTTATATTAGCTTAGATGCCAAAATATTATATCCAAAGTTCTGGCTAAAATTGTAAAATAGTATTGGTCGAAATTAAGCAAATAAGTCTTATACGAAGACTTTACCGTAGCCAAACACATATTTAGAAAGTGTAGTCTTCTTCCAATTTTTTATATAATATTTCTGAAGAATAAAAAATAAAATAGAATCAACTTTTTGTAAAAAACTATATTTTCAGATATATATCTTATTATCTTTCTTTTACGATTTGCTTACTAGCTTGCTATATGTCTCTTTTTTCAGAGAATGAAAAATAAATGCACTAATGAAAGTACTTATACCTGAGTACATACTAGTTATAGGGTAAGTAAGTGCTAATATTTATATAATATTTCTGAAGAATACCCAAAATACATATATCCAACTACATACTAGTGATAAGGTAGTCTTCTACCAATATTTATATAATAGATTACACACTTACCTCTTCTTATATTTGCCTATTGAGAACATGCTTATTTACATTTTTTTTACCATCTTGTTATATATATTTTTGTATTCCTTATTTGGTATATCTCTATATTACGTAAAGGCTATACTATATCTGAATACATATCTAGGAAAGTGAAGCCTTCTGCCATTTTTATATAATATAATTTCACAAAAGGCTTCATGTCACATCTGAGTATATACTAGTGATAGGGTAGTCTTCTGCCAATATTTATATAATAGATTACGCAGAAGACTACCCTAAGTATCACCTATTAAAAATATGTTTATTGAAAAAAATAAATTAAATATTTCAGAAATATATTGGAGTATATAAAGTTTTATTTACTGATGCTATGTATACCTTAACTACTTCTAACCAAAATCATGAAACTGACCTAACGCCTGCTATGATAGCGTTAAGTCTATAGCCAGTATTCTATCACGTAATGAGATCGTAGCAGAATATGATAACGGGATGACTGCTATACTTCAACAATACTTATCTGAAAAGCAACTATACATTTTATGCATACGGATGTGAGTGATGAAGCTAAATATATAAATGGAGTATCTACCTATATTTTACGTATCAGTAGTACTTTAATCATTGGGCAAAAGACAATTGTAGATATTACAGACATTAAACCCTTCTTTGATATTGAAGTGCCAGAAAACTATTCTTCATCTGGTCCTAGAGAGACCCCTTTATTTAAGATTATATTAGCATGCATTTAATCCGCTACTCTCAAAAATACATCAAAGTTTGGGTTTGAAGATATTCGCACTTTCTTACTTCAAGGATATCATACAGAAAAGAAAACATATATCCGTGTGAGAATATGGAACCACTTTGATCAGAATAATACATTAAAAGCAGCTCGTAAAGTTGGTATTCGTACTGCTTCTGATGATCTAACTTCCAAATATTATCATCGTAAAGTAGCCTGTGAAATTCATATAAACTCTTAGTAAATGCTTATCTCTTCTGAATATCCGTGGATAATTACAAACCATAAGCGATGATAAGTACAATAATCAATTAATTTCCTTGGCACTTTTACGAGATTGTACCTCATTCTCATATAAGACATAGAGACATATAGTTCACAAAGAATTAGCGAGGTGCCCAATGCAAAATACGATAATGATGTTGTATTCATGATTTATATGACAGTTTATTGAAAAGATGATCTCAAACCATTAAAACAAATTTGTCTTGTCAATGTTGAAACTGCACCAGACCCACGATGGATTACAATTGTATATGGAGACCAAACTAATTTACTGAAAGCATTTGCACTATGTTGGAAACTTTTAGCCTCAGATATACAAATAGGCTTTAATGATTCACAATATGACTGATCATTTATTGTGAAGAAAGCTAATAAATTAGGGGTTCTCGAATGGATGTTCAATCATATATCATTCAAACTGAAGCCAACTTACCTAGAAAAATTACAAAATGGTAATATTAGTATAATATGATAAAAGTAAATGATGAGAACTTCTATTCGAGACATCTTAAAATTCCCAGATGCGTGGCTATTGATACCCAATCCTATTTTAAGAAATTCTACTTTAAAGCCGAAAAAAATAATCTCACATATTACTTAAGGGTGTGTAATCTTGATAACAAAGTAGATTTACCTATTCACCGCATGAACAAATATTATGAAAGGGCATTAAAAGAAACAAATATCACAATGGTTGAGCAGATGCGTGAAGTGGCCAAATACTGCATTATCGATGCTCTTAGCTGTCAACGATTAATAGTCAAGTGCAATGTAATCAATATTTATAGGGAGCTAGTAACTATAGCCTTCTTACCATTATTTGATGCGTATTATTTTGTGAGGGGTATGAAAGTTTGCAACCTTTTAAGTGCTAATGCATGACAAAAAAGGATCTTATTTAGTACAATCTCAGAAGAGAAGACTGCAACTGAAAATATCCTAGAGCTTATGTCTTTTCACTAATAAAGGGCTTGAAAATAAACATCCTATAACTGGCTTAGACTTTGCATCTTTGTATCCAAGTCTTATCATGACATACAACCTCTCACCTGATAAAATCATTTTATCTCAAAAGCATACTGAACAAAGTGGTAAAAAGCTCCACAAAATTAGTTTTAAATTCAAAGATCAGAATATTCTCATATGGTCTATTCAGCATAATAACCTTCCTAAAGAAAAGGCTCTCTATGCTAATGTGTTAGAATATTTATTTGCTAAACAAAATGAGATAAAAAAATGTTTTGCTTCTTTAAAAGAAAAAAAGGAAAACATGGAACTAGTAATAGCTTCAATAGGTAAAGGTTTATCATTGCCAGGGGCTATTAAGAAGGAGTTAGCAAATATGGAGGGAAAAAAACATGCTAGGCTTACTAAAAATTTATATTGTTGTTTATTTAAAGATAAACTAAGGAATGAATTTATGGCAGAATATGATTCTATTTGTTTTGACTGCATTCTTAAAGTGTACATGAATCCATTTTATAGCACCGCTAGAGATAGTAGATCTCCTTTTTTCTTACGTGAGCTTGCTGGAAGTGTCACATCAGCTGGGCAGAAAAACATCAAACTTATTGCAGATTTTATTAAAAGCAGGGGTTTCCAAATAAAATATGGGGACACTGATTCCTTATATCTTGTCTGCCTAGAAGAGTGTTTCCAGGAATGTGATGAGATATATGACTATGGTAATGGAATTCTAAAAGAAGAATATTGATCTTGAATGGTAGAAATCTCTATGGGAGAAATAGAGAAACTTCGTGATGAAATTAATGACTTTCTCAGGAAAGATAATGGATCTCCTTATCTCAAAATGGCATATGAGAAAGTTTTATTTCTGGTAGTATTTACTGGAAAGAAAAAATACTACGGCATTCCAAATCCTATAAGATATCAAAATAAAGAAATGATACGTTTTTTATAAGGTTTGTATACATAATTAATGATTCTATATCAAAATTCCATATGTTTTATAATGAT